GAGAGAGAGAGAGAGAAACGAATCAAGCAAAGAAGCAGGAACGAAGGGGGTTAAAAAAAATCCCTAATCTCTGGCTCCGCTTGTCCTTCTGGAATGAAACTGCAGCTTTGATCTCCTTTCCAGCTGCGTTGGGTAGGATCTGGAGCCACAAGTTGGTTCCCCTGAGCGCAGCCCTTCCCCGCGCCGTCTGGTCCCCCGCGAGGAGACGCGTCCTCCCGCGCGCAGCTCTGAGGCCTCAGCGCCATCGCCCAGGCTCGCGACTCCCCTCGCGGCGGAAACCGGGGTCCCCTTCCATCCACTTCGGCTGGAACTCTTCCTCCTCTCTCCTTTCTCCCCTCCTCTCTTCCCCAGTGAGTGAATGGGCTCCTTGCGCACTGGGCAGCGTCTGCCAGTCAAGGCTTTTTCTCCAGCAGTGCCACGTCCGGTCACTCAGGGTCCCGGCTCCCCAAAGCTCCCCTCAGACTGCAGTCCCCTTCTCTCCTCGGCCCCTCTTTCTTTCCCCTTTCCCTTTCTCTGCTAGAGATCCGTAAAATACAATTACCCAATTACCTCCCATCATCTTAGCAGTGATTGGTCAATTGCATTAACACTTGAAGTCAGGGAAAAGGGGATTGGAGCCTCTGAGGTGTGGCACTGCTGCCACCTGGAGGGCAGAGCCTAAACAGCAAGGTTTCCAAACAGCCCTTTAGGATTGGAGGTTAGTATTGGGAAAAGAAATTCAGGCTGTGTAGGAGAAGTTGTCAATTCTTTCAAAAAAAAAAAAAAAAAAAATCTTGCCTGTTTTCATCTCGAAAGTCAAGAGTTTTGAGCTACAAAGACGAAGACATTGAATTCAAATCACTCCTGCATTCAAAATTATCAACAAACACACAGAGCTTTCGCCTTCAGATTGCAGATTAAGAATCACTCTGGGAAGTCCATCAGACTGGACGAAGGCCAGGACTAAGCAGCTTCTACTTAGAGCTGGTGCCTCAGAAAGAATTAGGGGTAGCTCAGAAGCTACCGGGGAGAGAGCGTGTGCTGGAGCAGGGTAATCTCACCGGGAGGAAGCAAGTGTAAAGGCGAGATAGGAGCCTTCAGTCAATGCAGCCTTGCAGTAAATTGGCCTGTTCAGTTTGTACAAGACATACAGGACAACTTGACAACTCAATTCCAACATCCCGCGCTCCGGGATGTGGGCTTCTCCATCAACTCGTGTTAGGGGAAGCGTTGGCACATTTCAGCTTCACCGGCCTTCCTAAAAAGTCAGGACCAGGACACAGAATAATGACACGGATATTATATTTATACTGCCATTTTTCTCTGCAATGTAATGATCGCAAAGCTCTTTTTGTGAGCCATAGTTTCTCCTTTTATGTCACTGAGGCATGAGATTTATAAGACAAATAAAATTAGAAATAGTGATTTGAATAATTTAAAATCATGTCTGTAGGTGATGAAGGTAAAGACTTCTGTTTCCCCTTCCTTCAGTAATGGTCTTTATGGGCTGGTTTTCTTAATTTTTTTACAGATGAGAATATACAATTGGGTTAAAAAACATTTTAAAAGTGTGTAAACCATAATGAGAAGTGTCAGTAACACAAGACCAGAAGAATAACATTTCTACTACAGAAACACAATGTCAATATTCAGGTTTCCTCCTTGGAACACTTATACTGATGTATATTATATTAATTATATTATATTATGAAATATATTTACTTGCTTAGATTTTAGAAGTTTGTATCTATACATTGCTTTAGGGTTGAAGGAGAGGCTGTGATATAAATTTCAGCACTGTGCTGGATAGCTTTAGTGTCAACTTGACACAACTGGGTTGAGGGAGCCTCAGTTGGGGAATTGCCTCCATTGGACTGGCCTGTGGCCATGTCTGTGGGGCAGCTTCTTGATTATTGAGTGATGTGGGAGGGCCCAGCCCACTGTGGGTGGTGCCACCCCTGAGCAAGTGGGCCTATAATATATAAGAAAGCAGTCTGAGCATGGGTAAGGGAAGCAAGCCAGTAAGCAGTGTTCCTCCATGGCCTGTGCTTCAACTCCTGCCTCCCGGTTCCTGCCCTGAGTTCTGACCTTGGGCTCCTTGATGAACTGTGACCCATGGAGATGTAAGCCAAATAAACCCTTTCCTCCCCAAGTTGGTAGTGATCAAAGTGTTTTGTCACAGCAATGGAGAAAGAAAGCTAGAACAAAACCCGCAAGGAAAGGACTTTTCTCACATACACATACAGGTGTCTATGATTTCTCTTTTTGAAGAGCTTTAATGTAGACATAAATCTCATCAAGATGGAAATTTGTGGAGGAGTTATTGCTTCTAAATTTAGATGTATGCTGCATTGCCTGGTTCACAAACACTAGTAGGCAGTTGACTACAACTTCTATTTGTGTTATTTAAGCATGGTTTACCCCCTGCTAAACCACTGGAAAGAACATCCACTAAGTGCTCTGCCTGGGTTCAGAGGAGTTGACCTCTGATTCTGAAGTAAGCTGGAAGGTATTAGAAGTCAAAATGTTCTTTAGGGTACTTGACAATATGAGAAAGGTCAGTGATGCTGTTATTTAAGCAGATTCTACTAGCTGTCTACTAGCCATCTTTAACATCTTTCAGAACAAATCAGTCTCTCAAACAAAGTAACAGGAAGGGTCTGTGCTCAGTAGGGAAAGAGTTTCCATCGTTGCTTAGCTTCTCTCCCTGGCTGGCTTCAATCCCATGTTTGTGCATCTGCTCTATAAAATCTCAGTCCTTTGACTTTCATTTTTGCATTTGGGTTAAATTATTAATTGAATCATTGAGCACCTATCTGTATGATATTTTGTAGGTTTTACATATTCCCTTTATGAATGCTACCTTAGCATTGTACATGACCTTATTTAGTGCTCAAAATGATTTCATGAGAGATTTTGAAGGTAGAAAGAGTGAGGTTCAAAGTGGCTTACTTGATAAATGACAGCCATTTGAACCCGGATCTGCTCAGTTCTGGTTCCGCTACTTTTGTATTGATTTCTACATTTTGGTAACATGGCGAACATCTTCTCAGAACAATGACAGTTATGAACATAAGGGTCCTCATTATCAGCATGGATTACCAAAGCTAAGCTTGGACTCCTCAATGGAAGTGTCACTGCCACCTCTGTTGCTGAGTGGCTGTACTCAAAGGGAATTGAAATAAGTAGTAAACAAGGGAATTGTCATAAAAAACGCACAGCAATATACAACTGAAGACAGGCAGAAGGATTATCAATTATGATCGATAAAGGCATGCATTCAAATAAAATTCTTCATAAGAACATTTTTAGAAGGAATAATTGCCTAATAAGTAATTGGTCACATTTTCAAGCTTTCCATCCATCAGTCTTTCTAGTCACCAAACTTATGTCTAGGAATAAAGGTCATTGGAATGTGATTACTCGGGAGAAGAGAGAGCACAGGACTATGGCAGTTTTGTTCTATGGACATACTGAATTCTACATTTGCTTTCCTTTGATCTTTAGACATGTAGGTAAAACGAAATTGTCATTTCTCTCTGTGTTGGTGATTCTGACTGGTGTAATCTTTAACAAACAGAAGGGGACAGCATCTTGTAATCAGAAACACAAAACAGAAAATACCATGAATTCATTAACTTCACTTAAAAATAAAGAAAATATGGATGTGTGTATTGTATTTGTTAGTTGGATTTAACAGACAGTAGGCTATTATTGATATAAAAATATATTCTTGAGGTCTGAGTCTTTATTCTGTATTATCAATTCTGAGTATGGATGTTCTCTTTTTTACTTGCAATTCTATTGTACAAGGACTATGATATCACTGCAGAATAATGGTATCAAGCTTGTCTCAATAATTCACATATCCTGATGTGAACTAAATCCAGTAAATTAGCCTTTTTTTCAAAGATTACTTTGATGTTTGAATACAAAAGTGGTTTGTGGTCAGATATGCTGCTAGATGATATTATACAGATGCTATATTACAGAAACAGAAGACATCCTAGCAACCATATCATTTTAGGTCCTTTGACATATAGATGAGGATCCTAAGGTACAAATATGTTTGTAAATACCTGTTTATTTTTTATAGACTCCCTTTATGAATGCTAGCCTAGCGTGAAGACCTCATCCCATAATTACTTGGTTTTCTTTCCTCGTCTGATTTTTAATATTTACATTAACAACTAGCATTTGATGGCAGCTTACCAGTGCCAACTACAGTTCTAGGTTCATTACAACTTTTGAGTCATGATATACTCTCAATAACCTTGTAAAATGGGTACTATTACCATTCTGTTTTTTATGTATGCTGAATTGATTGGAAATGAAGTTCAATAAGTGTACCCATCCAGGTAGAGTTACTTTCATTTCAGAGACTGTGGCTGTTATAAAATAGTTGAAATGGATAGACATGTCTCCCTAATATCTAAATTCCCTTGGAGCCCATGACTGATTTCACAAGAGCATCTTCCTATATTTCTAACACCTCAACAATGATAACTGAATAAATATCTAAGACTGTGATGTTTGGGAATGCAAAGATCTACATCTCCATCTATTGTTT